CTTCCTGGAGGACTTGCTCATGCACAACTGGGGGAAAGGTATTGTTTCTGGATTTTTCCATCTCTGAATCCATCATACAGGACGATTTTGCAACATGGGGATTATTATATCAGAATAATCATGGTACTGTCTTGCATGACGAAGATTTGAATGTACACATACATGACCAAATAGAAAGACTGCGTGAGGTTAACTTCAGCAGTGATTCAGTCTGACTGGCCTTGAAATTAAACTTCTTGTAGGACTGCAGCTATTGATTCTTTTAGAAATCAAGTATTCTACCAATTATTATTATTACAAATTGAGTAATTAGATAAGAAATACTTTAGTAGTATTATTTGTTTTTTTTAATTTTTATTAAAGAGCAATAGTAAATATACAAAAGAAAAAATAAAACAGGTCTCTAAAATGTTTTAAGAAAAATCAACACTTTTTTCTTCTTTTTAATGAAAAGCACATCCCTAATAACACATTTCTTCTGAGTTATTTAAACTTTTGACACAAAAAAAAGATCATACCACTTATTAAGACAAAATAAATAACTAACGGCATCAACTAAAAACACATGGTTAATAAAACCAAAGGGACTGAAAGCCTGTGATAGTATCACATGGGATGCTCTCATAAGGCATCATTAGAGTGCTCAAAAACCATAGGCTGCAGAGGAAGTCTGTTTAAGAGGTTTAACTTAGTTCCTGTGTGTGTGTGTGTGTGTTCATATACATGGTGTACATGCTTGTCCATATGAGGAGTCTGACTAAAGGGTATAAACTAACTTCCAGAGAAAGAGGCAAGAGTGTGTGCGTGCCTGTGGGTCACAGGATGAAAAGCAATCACTGTAGTTTTTTACAAGCAGGGGTCTGACTCTGTAGTGAAGAGGGGGCACACACACTCACACACACAAACAAACACACATATATACACAGGTGCTTGAGCAGTGATGGCGTCAACAGCTTGGCTTACCCAGGATGACTCCCTGGGCACCGCGGTAGTAACTAGGCGTCAGGGTTCGGAAGCGCTCCTGTCCTGCAGTGTCCTGCAAAAGACAACCAGCTCAGCACTACGGGACACACTCACAGGGCAAAACTGGCGGCTCGAACAGAAGGGAAACCAGGGGCAGGCGGACATAACCAACAAGGAGGACTCCTCTGTGTCCCTCAACGAGCATGCAGGCAGAAACGGTGTTACGCAAGCGCCATCTTCTGGGCATTTGCGGGAACAGACGGACTGGGAGTCTGGAGCTCTGACTGACAGACGAGCCACAGTTTTGTTTGATGAATGTTGCCGACTCAGAGTTTGCCACTTACCCATATTGCCAGCTTTGCCCTGTTTCCGTCCACAGTGATGGTCTTCACTTTGAAGTCAACGCCTAGACAACGAGAAGCAGGTCAGTCACTCATGCCGTCGTGATTACCTCATCCTGCTCCAATCCCACTATGGGGACTCTTACAGATTTGGCCAATTACTGCCAAGAATATTATATCACTGCAACAGACTATAATTATCTATGATGGATTGTCATATGTATACCACACGTTGTCTCTGAACTTCTGCTAACCCCAGCTTTTCAGACTGGCATTATGCCCATCCCATGTCCTGTATTTAAATGATGTGTATTCATATCCACCACAAAGGGACGGTGTGTGGTTTATTGTCCTGAGCAGAAACTAATACAGGTCTGTATTAAAAGAAAAAGAAATAAAAAAAAAAAAAGAAAAAAAGTCCACCACCTGTGAAATGGCTCAGAGAGCCATGATTCACCCCTAAAAATCCCACCAGGTCCCAAAGCAACAGACATTTACATGAAAATGATAATGTTGTCCCCCATCCCCTCAACAAGTAAATCTCCTCTATTGCCTTTGTGCAGCGTCTCGGTGTGCAGAGCGTGCAGTGTCTGGATGACATATCTGCCTGAGTTTTAGCATCCACTGACAGATTTACCAGGGAAATGTACACTGGTGTTGGGCTTGTTTTTACATCTGGGACTAGAGAGGGGAGTTCAGCTCCGAGCCAAAACAGAGGAGGAGAAAAGGGGACATGAAGACAGGCCGAGGATATATGACATACAGTATGTGTACCGCACACGCACATTATATATATATATATATATATATACACACATATACACACACACAGTGTGTTCACACAGTCAAATCACAATCGCTCTTCCTCGAGTCCAGCTCGGTTGCTCAGATACTGGGGACAAGTCTCTCCTGCTTTCAGTCTGTATAAATTCAGACAGAGAAGAACATACAGAACAGCATCTGTTTGTAATATCACCACACAACAAGATGCCACTACTGCTGGAAGTTAAAGATGGGCCGATCTCCGAAGGCCACGGTGGACCAGAACGGCCCTTCATTGTATGATACACAGAGCGTTACCCTGAATTGTCTCTTCTTCACGTTTTGTAATGACTGCACCCAGAAGTAACTAGGTGGAAGCGTCGTGACAGCAGGCCTGCTCGGGACTGTCTGACAATCATCTGTGACCTCATCGAGACTGAAAGATGACTCTCGCCTATTTAATACCTTTCGGGTCAAAACACTGTGTGCCCTTGTGACAAAGCTATTGTCACAGGGTATGTATGCAACCCCAGCTGAACGGCTTTAGGTGGCAATGATGAAAGGCATTAATTGAGATTGAGTGATGCCGAATTAAATGTGATTTCTGTCTGAATGAGGGAACTCGAGTCAATGAGGGAGAATTTGCAGATCCACCAGACTTTGGAAAAACCTCCACATAATTATTAAATAATGTACCAAGTAGTTCATAAGTTCACTGGATACGATGCATAGACGTGTCTGCTACAGGAATGTTTTCCAAACACCTCATTGACTTTGCAATAAATCAAATAGATTCGTGGCGGTGAGGTTGTGTGGTGACTTTGCTCATACCTTCTCACAGCAGATCTCCTGACAGGCCACATTAGGAAACAGCTCGAGTCCAGTATTTCAAAAAATGTACTTAATTTCAGATTTTTAATTATTTACAATAAATACTGGGTGTGTAATGGACACACCCAGTAAAGTAAATGTTCAACATCACTGTAAACTACAACCTCAATAATAAACATATAGTGAAATGAATGACAACCAAAACTGAACATTATTGTTGTAACAATAGAATTTCTGGCTCAGATTTTGTATTCGTTCAAGTTGTATTTTACGAGTGTTCTCAATAAAGTGGCTACTCAGTGTACGTTAACACGCATTTCTACTTATCGGGTGAACTTGCACTTACAACAGTGGATACACTTTGTCCAATTCTTACATACAGTATGTGGGTAACGATATTTATCAATGAGCTAATATATTAAATGTGAATTATTTTGTTTCACCTGTCATGAGTAACCAAAGTGTAACCATTAACGTTTGTTGCTCATATCGACTCCACTGATAACAGTCTTGCAGTTACCACAAACCCAAACCGTACTTTTATTTGTCTATTTTATAAAGTGAGCTCATGGGTTACTCACCTATCGTTGCTGCTTGCTCTGGGTCAAATGTGTCATCTGTGAATCTCAAGAGGAGGCTGTTGACAGGAAAGAGCAAAATAATTAGATTAAGACTCATTATGAACCACTAACAAACACGGCAGACAGGCTTTTTTCCGTACTTCTATTCCACAGACTGAGCAAGCTTTTGGTCTGGAATCAGGTTTCCATTTGCTTTGTTCACATAACCCGTCTTTCGGCACCATGCGTATCGAATTCTGTATCTGTATCTCTTTCTATTGATCTCTCTGTCCTTAACTTGCATTACACATCCACGCTCCAGATGATATCACCGTTAAATTGCACTCAGGTGGACAGGGTTCACGCAGCTATGACTAATCAAGTGCAAAGGCCTTAATCACTGTGCTGATGATGGGGATAAGTAGACTCCTTTCACTTGAACCAAGCATAATTCTCTTATTTTTCCTCAAGGGCTATTAGGAGGGATGCAGCCGATGAGCTATGCTTGGAGACAGCCAAGTTAGAAATGTGTCCTGCATGGGTCAGTTGTTCAAATGAAACGTGTGTATTCCTCGCCAAGCAGACATCTCCCTGGTGATTTAAGGGCTTCTACAGACTGCAGGGAAACAAATTAAATATCTGTATGCTGTTCAAAACTTAGTCCGGGCAGTGTACCTACTTGACAATAGCTCAAGGCTGAGGATAATTTAAATGGCATTTGAAACTATTCATAGTCTGCATTTGTTTATTGCATTAAGCAAAACCCAATTTAATAATAATACAAAAGTATGTTCTGGAACAACGCTCTTGGCCTCAATTATGCACTAGCAGGCAGCGTACAGTACAACTGCCCACAAAACTCTTCTGTTTTCTGGAAATATAAGCAAACTTAGGTCTATGTTATGGCGTTGGCATAAACTCAGTCGATACAGAGCTGTAAGCAAACTACCAGCACGATTTTAGACAATGTGAAGAAGAAGAAAAAGGACATTTCTACCGTTAAACTAAAACAGACACGGACCCAAGTTTAAAATTACAATCGTGTGTTACAATAAAAAAAATGATCCAAATAGGATACTGCCAAACAAAATAGTGAATAGAGGAGGGAAGAACTGACAATAGAGAAACAATTGGATTGTTGACATTCTCGGATGTAAAAGTGCATTAATCAGTACAAAGATTTGAGATTATTTACAACCTTCTGGGCAAACACTTGGATCCAAAATGAAGGGTATTCTCACATCCCATAATATCTGATCCATTTGTAATAATGCTGAAGATCGCACTCTTGTGATTACTACACAAAAAAAGCACTACACACTTTGGAGGTTCGTGTAACGGTGTATTTTGAGAACCTGAGGCTTGGTCGTCAGTCTGAAAGTGAAAGATGATTTGTGGCCAGACAGTTTCCTTCAACAGAGCTTTGGGCAGCTCATTACCTATGTACCGTGTTATCACAATGGAAGGCATGCTGTACTCAGTACCATGGTTTGCAATGTGATGGTTGATGGCTCAGGCTGGTTATCAGGATTCCTTCCTGCAGTCTGAACCAGTCTTGGAGACCAGCAAACATGACCACGCTCTCTGCTGGCATGCTACACAATGTACACTGCCAGAATAGTGTTGGTAAAAACACTAGTCTGCTTTGAATATTAGGTTAATTTGTGGTTGCTAACAAGGACCTCTGATTACCACATGGCAAAATCCACTGTGTGGTATAAACTACACAGAGTTTTAGTCCTTCGAGAGAGGCCAAGTTTCACTCAAACATGACCTCTTAAATTACAGACATTGCCTGTTGAACCTCCTCATGCTGGAGAAGCTAGCGCTACAAATACAGTAAGAGTAGATAATGGTTCTTGCATAGCATCACAATAATTCACAACAGTGACTGCTCATCATGTCTTCACTTAAATCTCCTAACACACGGTAGGCTTAGATAACTGTCCTCGCCCATGACCGCATAGCCACGAGGACCAGGCTGAAAGGTCTAGATTATTGCAACATCTTCAGAAACCAGAACAAAGATGATGTCACACACAGCTCCTGTCAGCTAGCTACGTTAGCAGCTAGCACACCACAAGCATTATGTCATCTCATAACGTCATAGTGTTTTATTTATTAAAGAATAGGACAATCACAGCCGAGTCGTCTAAGTCATATTAGAAGTACGCATTATCTTTTAACCTCACATTTAGTTGGCCGCTGAGCTAATGCTAGCTATCTGACGTTAGCAGTGAGCCACGACATCATTTTCTTCGGAGATAACTAACGTTACAGCTTACCTGGACTTTCCCACGCCACTTTCTCCTATTATCAGTATTTTCAGCGTCGTTAGTGTATCGTCTTCCATCTTCCTTGAACAGTGAGTTGTGTTACTGTCGATAAACGGCTCCGACAGCCTGTTTAAAACGACGTTCCTGAGCAACTTGTGTTCCTGTTTACAGCTCGCAGCAGAGATAGTTTGTGTCTTGGTAAGAAGACTCACTTCGACCATATCCGGTATGAATTGCTGGCACTTCCGCTCGGTAGGCTGTACAATGAATATTATAAGACCTTTTCTTTATGACTACACAACAAAGCACACCCCATTCATACACTACCTATACACTACCTGTATAGTATAAGAGTTACTCAAATGTGTGTGAGTTACTTTGAAATGAGACAAAATTGGTATCCACCATGTTTCTGTCAGTGTTGCATCAGTAAAATGTCTAATGATTCTTATTTGCATTTTATAATTTTCACACGTCCAAATATTTGTCTTATTACCACTATAATCTGTTACATAATTACTGTGCATACAATTCATGCTTTATATCTATTTCTACAATAACATTTAATATAATTTTATCGGTGCCACTACCACAGAACCATGAGGAATGCCCTTTCCCTTATCAGACAGGGCTGAGACAAATACATCCATCTTACGCTTAGAAATCTCACAAAAATAAATAAATAAAATGGCCTGAGATTGACCACTACACATTTTCAATAGTTATTTGTGCTGAAAATGGCACCGATTCGGGGGAATGACCCACTCAGACCTCCTCTGTACTGTATGAACCCTGTCAATCTTTTAGTAGAAAAACACAACTTGTGACCCTTCATAAGTCTTACCATGGCACGATACATAATTGATGTCATGGTGCTTACTTGAATTATGTATGAACTCATTGTTCATGTGATCAAAGTGTTTCAGTAGAAATTATCTTTAAAGCAAATCTTCAGCTTTAATGTGTCACCAAAAATCTTGTTTCTGATTATTTTCTTTTCAGAGAACAGGGGCTTATCTTATTGTGATAGTTGGCAAGGGAGAGAGGCACAGACAGGTTTTTGTATTTTATTTAATAAATAACTCAAACCATATTGGGAGAGAACAAGGTATTAAAATAAAAGGCACTTTGAAAACAATACTGTAAAGGCTTGTGTGTGTGGTACTTCAGAGGCATTTGGGGTGTGAAACCATTTCAGGTGATTCATGTGACGTCTGAACAAATACTCCTGTTTCAGTCTTACCATCTTAAAATAAAATAAAATGTCACTAACAGAATTGACTCACACAAACAAGTTTACCAGTTCACTGAACAAGCTAACATAGAACATATTTTTGGCGTACTTGACGAGAACACAGGGAAGGACCTGAGAAAGTTACTGCAGTTGACAAGTACAACAATATTTCATTAGTTATTTGCAACTTGGATCATAACTAAACAAATGCTTTGATTGTTCAACATCACCACAACTTCTGAATTTTAACAAGTGGTATACAGTCCCTTTGTGTTGGTATATCAACTATTTGAATGATAGTTGATATTAATTAACAGTTCTCAATAAGAGTGCATTAAAAATGTGTTTCGAAGCTGCAGATCAAAACTACATTTACAACCACTGCATAATATTCTGTGATTCAACATAACCGTCCAATCAAGCTGAATGTGAAATATCATTCAATACTTCCTATTGCAGTTGTTTTCTATATATATTTACAGACACACACACACACACACACACACACACACACACACACACACACACATATTGGCAATATGTGCTACTATGGCTGACAATTTACACATTAAACCTAAATCCTGTCTGGAACACAGGAAGTCAGTGCACAGAGAGGGACGAGACGACAGAGGCGTGTCTGAGAAAGAGACAGAAGCTGAGGAACTCTTGCACATATATTGTATATTCATAGTGTCCACACTGTGTTGTCAAAAAGAAAAAAAAGCTAAATCCTCTGCCCATACCAGTCCTGTGGCAGGAAAAAAACACCTTCATGTCATGTTTTTTTTTTGCAAATATGCAACTGAAAAGTATATACACAGACTGTATACTGTACATCTAAAATACCACAAATGCATACAAATCGTTAGTTAGTAAAAATACAGATGCAGTGCCACATGGTGCGTTATAATGGTAAAGCAACAAGATGAAATTACATTAATTCCAGAACAT